GGGCATTCTCAAAAGTACAGTACACCAGAAAGGAAAAGACTGCCACGGCCGGCGTACTCGTTAAATATCCATTAATGACGTGAATGTTGCACAAGCCAACAGCATTATCACTTCGCAGGCCATAATTTTTCTGAGATAGCATAGGCGCAAAGTTTGTTTAAGTCTTGGGGCCATATTGCAAAAGCTAGTTAAGTACTATTGTGATTGGTACGACTTTGAGATGCGAGCCTATAGGTCGACCATCTAGGAGCATCAACCAACCAACATACTATCCCAACGAATCAGCCAAGCCGATGCTTTACCTGGGGAAACCAACAGGTCCTCCGAAGCAAATCATCCTTGTGTCAATGGTCGCTGAATCCTAAGCCTTACACAAGGCTATACACATTCCAGAACCACTTGGTAGCCAAAAGTAAACTAAATTCCGAGAGGGGAAAAGTGAAACAAGGATAAGAGCCACCGGTGTGAACCATACGAGATCCCTTGAGTTGCAGCCCCGTCCGGAAAAGCCACATCCTCCTCACCTTTCAGTTTGAAGGATTAATAATGAAAATGCGACATTTGATCGATCTGTCTCATTCGGGTGGTTAACTGCCGCTATAGGTCACATTCCCTACTAAAATTCATGCGCAAAAAGCTAATCCTCGAAGGTACTTGAACTCCCACTTAACCTTTCCCACACTGCACGATTCATTATGCTACCGGGACTCAAAAAAACCTACATGTGACCTAGGTGGCGCAACAGTAGACGAAATTCAAAGCTCCGGCGTCGAAAGAGGGTTTTTTGTGCCTCAGGGCCTGTAAGGAACTTCTTCGTCATCGGCTACCCTCCGAATCAGAGTCGAATTCGTTTGCATGGCTCATTCAGATCGGTGCAGACCGATTGTTCCTTGCCGGTAGCGTACAGTACTATTACCTTTTGTTTTTGTCTATTTTGAAATTGACTGATATTGAGCCACAACAAATCGAATACTTTACTTGCAAGACTAGCACACAAATGGGGAAAAACAAGTAATTTAGAAAAAACAACTGGCAAAATTCACTTGAAGCAGTACTTATACCCGTAGTACGACTAGAATACTGTAACTGTAGCAGCTATAGAAGGTGTTTCACCCTTTCAGCTAAATATCTAAACGAAATGGCGTCTTGTAGCGAACCGTAGACCTTCATCGAACCTTGCATGTAGGCTGTAACCGGTGACAACTGTTGCGTAATGATCTTCGAAAAAACAGCACGGCTCATCTCAAAAATGACGTCCGGGTTCGGCACAGGAGACCCTCGGGTACACGATCCAGGCGGATGCTTCAGATCAATAACTATCGGTTGTGTATCCGGGCAGCTAATCTGGAATACACTGCCGATAGCTTTTGTCAGTTGCTCATCGATCGCCATATTGATGACGGTGATCAGACGGTCTTCATCGATCTCTGGATTATCGTCGTTCGTTTGTTCGATATCGATCAACGTCTCGTTGGTGGCGTTCGATTCAGGGGATGGCCCTCCGGGATCCATTGGTTCTCCGGGCTTATCGGTTGAGGATTGACTTTTTACTGACCGGGCAAACTCCTCCACATGAGGAGCAATCACCTGAAATCAAAAAAATAGTTTTGACCGTCCAACAATTCTGACAATTCTTCACAAATGTACCTCCCACAATTTTGCTCCCGCATCAGATTTCACGACTGAGCTTAGAGCGGCCAGCCCCATGTTCTCGCCTTCCTGAAAAATGGTTGAATATTGATGGGGCCGAAAAATCATTTGAACTGGCTGCTATCCTTGCCTGCCAGTCAGGTCTCCAACAGAATCTCAAAAAAGGTGATTACTAGTATAGGCGGCTACTGCTGTGAGAACCAGAGCTCTTTTTGACTGATAGAATGCCTACGAGGGCCATTTTTAGAAATCGCCTTCTCCTGTTAAGTTTCAGCTGAATCTTAGCCTCTTCAATATGCTCCCCTGCTGATAGGCTCCTTAAGTGAGCAGCTAATATTCACTAATTTCTCTTGTGAACTACAAGTTTTCAAATTGGTATTCACAACAATTTTGGCACAGATGAAACAGAACTGGAACGTTAGCTAGCTCACTAGAATAGAAAGGCCTGTAAGACGACAGAAACGTAAACCAGTGAAACAGTGTTCTCATTTCACGCAAATCCCAGGAGAAAATATGGAACACAGCAAAGAATCAGATGTCTAGGTGAAAACATGCTACTCTCTGCCGGAGTTACTTTCTCTCTGAAATTTCGACCCTGTCATAGCTTTTCAACTGTCGATGTAGGTCTCGCTTGTTGAAACCTAACGTCCTTTTGAAGGCGGTATTGTCAGTGGAGCAGCATGGACGGCGACTTACTTGCTGCTGCCGTCATGCGCCACGTCCTCAGTCACAATGCTACGTCTCCACACTATTCCTCTTTGGGGTCTCCCTTTATAATATCTGTTTTGTTAAATTAGATGACCAACCTTCAAGATTTTAACGTCGGAAATTTCAACGTCTGTGATCTCCACTCCATAGGTAGCCGTGAAACTGCCAAGTTCGTCCTGAAATTGGAATTTCATGACGCAAAGCCACAAGAAGGGTCTACTCGTGGAAGTTTCGCTTACTTTGAGTGTAGCGGCGAGAATTCTCCGTTCATGACCGTTCGTAATTTCACATATTCGTCTTTTACTGATATAACGATAAAGCATAGTGTTTGCGAGAGTTCTCGTGGATGTGTTGCGGTCCTGAAAAGAAGAATTCCTATTGGGTAAGGAATCCTCGGAGGAGTTCGAAGAATGTAACAGTCGAATGTAAAAGTTAATATAAGCATCCCCCTCAAACCCCATCCCTTTTCCTGTCGATTTCTATGCCGTCCCCTCTCACACGAGTTCTTTTGATGGGCACAGCTTGCAAGGCAGCGTGAGTAGTGGTCAGCTGCTGCTAGCAGATTGATTAATGAGCAATTAATAAAAGGAAAAAAAGGCGCTATATACTTTTCCCATTGAAACCACTAATTTTTACTCGGCAACCCTTAAAGGCACAATTTACAATAAAAATGGTTTCTGAGTTCTCCCTTCAGGAATTCCCAGTGCCCCCAAGGGTAACAGGAAGGAGTTTCTCGCGCCCAAAAACTCAACAGTTAGGGCACAGTGAGAGTCCCGTCACCGGCTCGCCCGGACCTCCCGCCCTTCTATTGATGTCACGTCAGACGAGTGTCGAAGCGATACAGTTTGCAAATTTCCGCTCTAGGACTCACACACAATCAGCTTATTGCCGAGTAACGAGGCGATGTTTTTCTCCCATTCTTTTAATCTCTGTTATTCTTTTTGCTCTTATTCCAATTTTCTGCCTCCAGAGACCGAAAAATGTTTGCTATTTTTGCTGTCACTAGGCTTTCTTTTGTTAAATTTAGTCAGATATTCGCACCGCGACCCAAACGTACGCAATGAGACACATTGCATAGCTCGTCCAAACGCCCCACTCTACCGATTCACGCAGTTTCTCAACCTTCATCGCACTATTTTCGACCTTGCCTTCCATTTTTCATCATAATCTGGATTACCCGAAATTATCGTGAACTGTGCCTGCAAGGAAGAGCCCGTTCCTGAGCACTTTTTCTTTCTTAGAAAACTTTTCTGAACACAAAACGTCACACGAGTACAAATGAGTCATGACAAAGAAATAACAAATCCATTTTTGAGTAGCTCAGATACGCAAAAAGCAGATCCCCTGACAACAGTTTCTTTTTGAAACAATTTGCGCTAGCGATGGGCTGCGCTCGTGTGGGGTTCGGACCGTACTTTTTAATAGGACAAGAGTGCCTATGAACTTGTACTAGGCTATTCAATTGACGCTTGAACGCCAATAAAATGTACTGCCTGGGAAGTCACTAAGCATGAATCTGGTGGGTGACAGCAGAGGTTCAGTGTGTCCGAACCATTCACGGCTCCACATTTTCCACTTTATCACCATGAATCCGTTCCAAGCTCGTCGCCTTCCGGTGCAATCGATGTTTTGAAGATTTCTTTTCAGGGAGAAATTTTGTTTCACTTCGCACCTTCTCAATAGTGAATCCCTTCATCCTTGACTCGATCTAACCATTCAATATCAATACCTAGTTATCGTTACCAAACGGTGTTCCCTAATTATCAGCTACTACCAACCGGCGAACGTCCGTTGCGCGTGTCCGTCGAAAGTAGGTCACCCCGCCCACTTCGCGCGCGGCGCAGTCCACTAAGGTCTCGAGATGACATTACAGTACCACCAAGTGTGAGTGGAGCGAACGATTTGCTTTTGTCTATGTTATCTTCTCTTTGGCTGACTACCGTGGAGAAAGCGCAAATCGTATGCCCCGCTTACAGCTGCGACGTCTGTCAAGTATCGCGGGCTGACCCGCCGCATGCGACGGCTGCGGCGTGACCTAGTTTCGACGGGCACGCGCAACGAACCGCACCCCTACCACCCTAGCCGGTATTCGTCGTTGACACCACCCTAGCATACCGGCTAGGGTGGTGTCAACGACGAATACCGGCTAGGGTGGTAGTAGCTGATAGTTAGGAATCACCTGACTAACAGTGAACACATCAATCGGATCTTGGACTTTATATTGCAATTTTAATCCCCGTTATAATTTTAGAGACGGAATAATAAGAGTGATAGTTCAGAACAATGCAAAAATGACAACGAACATCGGTGAGTTTAGAGAAATCTTAAGCTTCAAAAAAGTAGTAAAACCAGGTATTGGGCGAGAATGTGACGAAGAAGTTGCACGTAAGGGGCATTTGGACGAGTTGTCCAAAATTGGAAGCCACTACGTACAACTGGCTACAGTGAGCAGCCTGAGTGCAGCAAGTGCGTCCCGGTGCGAATGTTGCAACCTGTACAGTTTTTATAAGGTCGTGAGAATTAGGAGAAATCTCAGATATCGTTTTTGCTATGAACTGTGCCTTGAATCGATGATCCCCATCCCTACTCATTCACCGCTTGTCATCACCCTCCCGGTCCGATCGGGTGGGTCCGCAAAAATTGTAGGCCTAAGCACTTCAACCAATGTTTTGAAAATCCAAATCATATGAACAGTACCCACATCGCTCATCACCACTTTGTTTGAGATTTCCCTGTTGCATCGTACAAGAAACTAGTTTTAACTTCTCGATTAACACAGACACTAACAAGAAATTGGAGAAAACAGGAGCTAGGACAAAATGACTCCATAGTTGGAACTAATGATGGAGAAACAGCGCTACTTAAAGATCTAAGAGGTACTCAATAAAACTGTAAGGCAAACTATATAACCTACCATCCCGTTGATCATGGATTTGCACGAGAGGGCCTAGTAACCCCTCCATTTGTCCCTGTTGCGAACCAGTGCAATCCAATGAAACCCCTTCCCACAGAAACCCTGTTCATTTGACGTCGGTCGCAAATCGCCAGGGTCCAACAGCCATCAAAAAATCGCATGACATGTCGGGTTCATCTGACCTTCGATTCCTTGGCGTCCCTCATTTCGTTCGTGGAAGGAGTTTGGAACTGCGAATTTCCCTTTGTAGTTGTGCGATCGGAAAACTTCGAGCATGGTCCTACCCATAGCACGTTGAAGAATGCTGATTATATGCTTGTTCGCTTGAGTCCGAGTTTCATGACAGTTGGTGAAAGCAGGAAGGACTGCAGTGTCGAAAAAATGAGCACGGGACCGGATGTTCTTCGTCTTCTTCATCACTCCTTCGTTGTTCCTAGAGGTTTCTCTTGCTGCTCTTTTCTTCTGCTCAGCTCTCGAGCTATTCGTTCATGACGGCTCGATCTAAATACTCTTGGCTAGAGTTTGCAAACATAGTCGTTCCATTTAGCATAACAAGAGCATCAGGTACCAGTTCGTTCCCCATATACAGTCCACTTAGGTTTAGTAGTTGGGTAATCTCTCCATAAGCGTTGACGAATTCAGCCAGCAGTCCGGAAACCTTTACCATTTCAACAAAGATTCAGCCCATAACTTTGTGGAGCTCGCTCTGCTGAGACTCAATTCCTGAATTGGTCGATATTCTGCTGACTTCATTTCAGAGCAACATTCTGTCTAGGTCGCTCCTTCTAATTGACTACAGGGGAAGTACCTCAGACCAGAAGCTAGCCTTATGCAATACCAAACCACGGTTTTGGTTACTGCACGAAGATGCCAGCCCTGACGACCCTACCCTTTCGGACCGGGGGGTCTGCAAAAATTATTCTGTCGTAATCGGATCAAACTTTTCTAGACAAGGTCCGCTTCAGACGGGTACCGGACCAAAATTGTTGGTGTTGCTTCATTGTCGATTTTTTACAAATCTGCCAGTTGCTTCGTATAAAAAACGAGTCTAGACTTGGTATAGACACAAGTTCAGAAAAAAATCCAAGAAAACGGCCGAGGAAGTAATGTCTTCGAGGGTGGCTTTGATAATGTAGGACATTGCGCCTGCTTTTCCATCGGGACCAAAGAGACACTTAGAGAACCATTAGGCTCATACAAATGTAGGATATACAAATGAATAAAGCAAACCGGTTAGCGACAATAGTTTTCGAAATATGTGAAATTTAAAAATCTAATTTCAACCGGAGACTCATATCTTCTCGGGAATCCTCGTGGAACTCTATTTGGAGGCACAACTAGATATGGCATCACATACGTCTGAATAGATAACAGTGAACCCTGTAACCCTGAATAGACTACAAAAATGAAAAAAACAAAAATGAGGGAAAAATTAGGCCCTTCATGCCAGTTCATTCGAAGGTTCTGTGTCAGTATACGAATACGGAACGGGATATTCGGACGAGTTTATCGCATTGTGTGCAACATAAGAATCTCTACAGGTGCCACATACACGATTATCGTGTAAGTGCTCCATCGTCGGTATATTTCAGACTGAATCTTGCTCTGGAAACCGAAGACAAAATGCTGTTTGGACCATTGGTCGACGTTTCGAACCGGTGCTTGGAAGTTGTTCCACTAGTACTACTTACTCCAACTATCAAATAAAGTTAAAGATGGCATGGATTAACACATTAGTGATGGTGAGCCACTCCCACCAGGGGGCTCGACACGTCCAAAACTGGGCGTTCGTGCTGGCAGCGGCGATTTAATAGCCCTTGCTGTATTCTTCCTCGGACCTTTTCGCCCCTACAAAGATATATGTTTCCTACTCGGGCTTCGCTGCATCCATCCACTGCAAAACCCCGTATTTCTACCACTTTGTATCTTTAAAAAGCAGAGAAGGTAAAAAAAAAGGATCACTGTTTGGTAATGCAGAAAGAACTGACTTGTATGGCGCAAACAGCTGAGACTGGATCTCGTATTCGTAGAAATACCGTCGCTCCTAACTCCACCAGGCCACGATCGATTGTAATTATCTGGAAGAGTCTGGCGATCATGAGAGCATCAGCAAAATAACTTCTGTCATAATGAAAAACTTGGAAATGCCGATTATCAAGAAAATAATAAGAAAATGAAGATCAAGTGTGCATGAAAACTCACTTGAAGCGGTGGTACATTGAAGGCTGTAATAGTGGTGCTGATTTTGTAGGTGGTGTCAATGCAGGGCACAATTATCGTAGCGCCTGGTCCTCGCGTTTTCTGCGCTCGTCCCAAACGTAGAACTACGAGCTTTTCGCTAGTCGAAACGAACTGAAAAATCATTTTTAAAAAAATTGTACAAACCCACACGCCTTACTAAAAACTAATTCAGTACAGTATGTAAACTGCTGCGAAGCCCAGGAAAATAACCGGAAAAACTCTGGAAAGTCCATACCCCTGTGCTGATCGTATGATCCGATTTACTGTTTCGGTAGAGCCTTTAAGGCACAGTTCGCGATAAAAATGGTTTCTGAGATTGCCCTATAGTATGAATTCGAAGCTCCTCCTTATACCATACTTGCCGTTACAAAGTCGAAAAACGTCATGGATAGAGCACAACACGGGGCCAGAGATTGTATCGTTTGAATGCAACACCCATCGTGGACGAGTTTCAACGGCTTTGTAGAGGTTGCACTATTCACAATGGAACCAATGTAGGAAGTTCAAACAACTCGTCGTAACCCATGGCGACAGTGAAGAGACAATTACGGCTTGATAAAATCATCTCTTCGAGCAATGGGAGCAAGTTATATCTCGTCCAAACACCCCTTACATGCCATTACCATCTCGTATAGCCTCCACTTCCACTACTTTCGAAAGGTTTTAAAGTCGGGAATTTTCTCACTTTCTTCACCACCGACGTACTTCCCTAAGTACATCAGCACTTCCACTTTTCTACCTAAAAATGGTACCTCAAATTATCGTGAACTGTGCCTTTAAGCATTTCTAGAACAGGGAACGAATGACAAGCAAGTAGTGCTGAATAGCGGCCGTTATTTCTGAAAGCGCGCCTCGCAGCTCGAAAAACCGAGACAACTAACTAAAACATTGTGCACGGCGAGACAACTAGCCATGAATTACCGTGAATCACTGCGAACAGATCAGGAATAACATCAGACATCCGGTTGTGCTATTAAATTCATCGCAGAAGTTTCCGTGGCTCCAGGTTAGCCAAGTTCATTGCTGGGGTGCTCGTCAATGCCAAAATGCTTTCATGTATCTTACAGCTGCCTCTCGAGGTAGTTACTACTGGGAAGCCGCTTCAACAATGACGCCGTCCTCGAGAAGGGGTTTATGATTTGATTAATTCATTTGTGCGATTTCTGGAGAAGCGGTATCGAAGAGGTAGTTAGCTGTCCCATCGATGAAGAAATTCGTCAATAACCAAGGCGGTTGAGCGTCCGGTGGAGGTTAATTTTATGGAAATTCAATTACCAAAAGGAATCATTAAATCAGATGGATGCTGAATTATGGGAAAAGATGAACCGCCTCAGATGCGGTTGGAATCTGTGGTTTTATCCTCTCCGTTACTACACTGCTCATATTTCAGACCTTTTTTCCCTAAATTTTATTTGAATTTTTTCTGAAATACGACTCCCTAGACTTTGGATAATCAATGATAACATAACTTATTATACAATAGGACCGAACAAGTCACCAGCCAGTCTTGCTTCGTATATTTATTGAATCAAATGATCACGACAATACTTAAATACTTAAAAAAAAAACCTACCTTCATGGCGAACAGCAGCGAAAATGGTAAAGTAAACAGAAGGACCATCACACTGATGACGTAGATGACTATTTCAACGATGTTCATGGGTCCCACCTCAACATGCGGAAGTCTCAGACCCGTCAGAAAACTGATTCATCAGGAAGACCACTCACCTCCTTCTCCTCGTCGTCGAACACCTTGGTGTAGGTGAAACCGCTGTATCGACTGCCATGAGTGCTTGTGTTACCAAAACTAAACCATAGCGGTTAACAGAATGGGATATAACTTTTAGCTGTGCATCGAGCCATCGATCAACATCATCAAGTGTAACTAGAAAGCCTTGGCTACCGATTACCGTTACAAATTTTCGAAGAAATTCAAATAAACCTGGTATTCCTTATGAGTGATACCTCTCAAACCTCATCTCTCACAAAGCTCTTCTCAGGAAATGCTCATTTCTGAACCAAAGCTCTGTACAGTCCCGTGGAAATCAGCCAATTTTCAGTTCCTTTTATTCGTTCGTTTTCAGCCCAAGCTTCTTTCTCAGAGTAGCCGGCCTGTCGTCAGGCATTTGCGGGAAATAGCTCTGGCCAGGAAAATAGCAAAGCCGGGAAAGTCCAGGGGCTACAGGGGAATCGATAACCCTAACGACAGCGGTCTGCTACTTGAGCGCTGTCGTTTGATCATGATGGGTAGAAGCCCTTTTCATAGCCGTCGAAGTTACCCCCTTCCCCCTTCTGGGGCTCAGAAATAAGAAAATCGACGGTCTTTAACTGACCGAATTCCTCATAGAAATTGCTGAAACTTTATGGCTTACCGTGGTGGTGCTTCATAACCCATACGATCCAGATCATTATAATTGGCGTAAGTGAAAGCGCTGTCGAATGTCCCCTCCGGTACTCCAAACTCGAGACCGCTTCCTTCTTGTTCCGGTGGCTGTAGACTGCTGTCTTCGGGATCGTCCTGCAGCAGAGCTGCATAGCGTACCGATGGAAAAGTCATCGGCGCAAGGCGATACAAGAGACTCAGCCAAACTTTCGGTGGGAGGCCTGGAAAGAACAACCATATTCGTTTCCGTCAGTGCGCACCGCTAACAGCAAAGCACGAATTCAACGAGGTAAGAGGCATAAATAAGTAGACAACAGCAAGAAAGGTGGGACATTATCAAAGACGAAAATTTCAAGAAACGGCAGAAGATGCGATAGATAGTAGGAAGTTGAGACAGCTGATAGGAACAGTAGAATCTGCGAAGGGATGGGATTGACGCCACGGAGAAGAGGGGGAAGACATCAGTAACGATGGGGTTTAGCCGAGCTCTTCGACGCGATTCATCCGCTCCAACTGAATTTGGTATCTTTTGGTGAGCTATCCTTCAACGATGTTCTCTTGCTAATTTTATGGTAGTTGCTGTTAGAATCTAATAATGAGATGAATGAGTTCCAGTGGAAGCGGCTTGAGATGAGAAACAGAGTTCGAAGATGGCCATTCTTGGATTGAAAACGAAAAACACTCTTCAATCGAGGCAGCGCTCGATGGCATACACAGAGCATTCTGGAAATCGAATAGGTAACGATGACCTACCCATCAAACTTGCCAATCATTGCTCTACCGACAGCCAGCTACCCAGGGAAAATAACAGTAAAAAATGAATAAGAGCAAAAAAGTGTAGTATGAAGAACGTACTGGGTCCCGCTAGAGTGGAGATGGTATAGCTGTCAAAGGAACGCATACATCGGGATATCGGTTTCGTTCAGATATCCATCATAGCCAATCAAACCTTTCATCCTTTTGCATCGGATACTTAGAAGTTAGTTGGTACCAGACTCGTTTGGGAGGATAATAACACTGAATTCTACACCGGCTAGCCACCACAAGTCATTGTATAGGCAACATACACCTTCAAAACGGGCCTACTATTCTGAATGGAAGTCAATTGCGGGGCGCAACAGAGAAATGGGATTGATTAGAGCAAAAGACTTCGTCCTAAGCTGTTCACTTTTGGAATACTACACTCTGTGAGTGAAATAAAGTAAATCGTGAGCAGGAATAGAGCTACCTTCTTGCTTGGGACAGTAGACACTATTTATCATGGATTTGGTATTTGTCATCACTACTTATCATATTTGCAAAGCAAGGAAAAAATGAAAATAAATAGAAAGTAAATAAGTAAAATAAATAAAAGTGTCAATGACATCTTTAAAATGTAACTGGGTTTCGACAACCCCCTTTCTGACCCTTCAGAGCACAACTAATATCTAGAACATTTAATTTTGACGATCTACAAAGGAATTTTGAGATTGAGGGCCTCCATTCACTTAAAAGTTTAGATCGACTTAATAGGAGTGTTGCTTCAAAAGACCTGAGTAAAGAGGGAGTAGTGGGTTCACCAAGGAAACGTGGGGAAAGGAAAAGTAAATAGAAACAGAAATAAACAAGTAAATACATAACAATTTCTATAAAACGCAAGAATGACAAATAAATGAATCAAAACAGATGGAAATCAAACGAAATATAGGAACGAAAAGTAGAGTTGATTTAAGGTCAGGTCGTAGCAGAACAGGAACGCGAACGGGTCCAAACAAACGGATCCGCGACCTGTGACTGGCGACCGATTCATGGCGCATCCTGGCTAAGTCGAGTCACACCAATATCCTATCACGGTAGCTCTTGTAAAAAATCTAGATGAAAAATGGATTCAAGAAGGTTTTAGAAACTAACCACCTGTATTGCAAAGGCATCGATGGGGCTGTAAGGCGAAGTACTTGGGTTGTTGAAAATTGTTACAAAATAATTAGAAATAGTAATTGGATCTTGCGACGAACTCAGTCAACTGCAGAGCTGAATGGCTGAACAGGCTCAAAGGCGTTTGTTGATGGATTAGACCAGCCTTGGGCTAGGGTGCCCCTGTGTCTGTCCAGCAAGCCCAGCTGGTTGACGCAAAGGCGGCACTGGATGGCCCACGTCTGCACACTCGCACTTGGTCCTACACTCTCCTCCCACATCGCTCCTCACGCTGCCCTCCTACTGCCATCGAACGCTTCACAGAGCCTTGTGGCATTGATCTCCTATGCAGACAAGAATGCATTTCTAAGCGCTAGGACACTTCTTGAGATCCCATCATTAGCGACTATTCATTGTCAAGAAGCTGCATGGGAAGCTTGTGATAGATCCCTTTGTCTGAAATCCAGTTGTTCTCGGAGTTTTTAGCGATTTTTGAGTGTTTACAGCCTCTCCATCTGAGGGTCGTCAATGCTGTTGCCGTCTGGGCTAACCGCTACTTTGTCACCCAAGGGACTCCCCAGGGCCATCCGTCTTGGGAAATAGCGCGCACGATAAATTATATCCCTTAAAAAACGAAAGGATAAAGGAAATGAAAGGATGGTTTCTTCGGCACGAATCAATCCCGTCTGAGGGATACGCCCCGGGTCGACTTCTATTCAGAGTATTAGCGGGGCACTGAATGCTGATCCGCCCTGCACAATGAAGTGCGGTGGCCAACTGATGTAAAAGTCGGTGATTCTATCCTCCTAGACTGTCTGGTACCAATTAATTGAACCCGGAGAGATGGAAGGCCACGTTGGCCCAGTAGTGCCGATCAGTGGTGCAGTAGGAACGAAATTGTCGCATCGCGGCGAGAGAGATGCCGAGCGCGAAGGGGTGTAGAAGAATGCATTGTGTCAGTATGCTGTACCGAAGGGTGTCTCTTGGCGTTCCTTTTGAGGACAAGCTTGAGGAGGAGTTTGCCCATGGGTCGTTCACATGCTTTATTTTCTTCTGCTCCTAATGTACTACCACACCTTTTCTTGAAAAGGTAGGCAAGGATATAACAACATAGTTTATGTACCAGGTGCTGTTATACAAGCAATACAGCTTTGGCTGGGTGATAAATCACGCCTACCTTGTTCAAGAACCACCCAACTGACTTCGTTGACTTTTTAGCCAAGCACAAAAGTTAGGTGAATCAGATAGTGCTATCTGGCCGCACGGCTGAACTTCATGGATAAAAGTCGACACTTACTGGTTAGTTCTTATGTTCAACAAGGATGTCATGGAGGCTACCCATTTTTTGAAAAAAGTTGTTACTTGGGCAGCTAGAGGAGGGCAGGTAGGAGGAAATTGAGGCGTGAGGGAATGAGGAGTAGTCCGGAGTAATGCCATGGTAAGCAGAAGTTTGACCACCTGAGCTATAACATTATTGTGCTCTAGCTGTGAAAGTGACAGGTGAACCAATACTTCGGTTTACAAACTTTATCACACAAGATTTTTCACCCTTGGGTAAGCTGGATCAACAAGGAACTGATTCCAGGGCACTCTAATGAATTGAGTGGCTAAAATCAATCCTACAACAAACTGATGTGTTTATGGGTGACAGAGGTTCCCACGCTATCGAAGGTAGAGCCAGGAAAAAAAATTAGACAGATTTGAACGAAAAGGTATCCAGTGTCACAACGGGAAAATGGCTGAGAATATAAAGAGGGCTTAGGACCGAAAATTCAGTTCGGGAACTTGGTTCCTACAGTGACCTTACCGTAAAATTAAACGCAACGGACGCTACAGTGATCTTACGTGAAATAAAATGTAATGAACGCAGCATCTCACAGAAAGCCACAGCAATCTCGCAGATATTCCTTATTATGACATAATTAATCCCTCTCGGAAAAACAAATCCTTAAGAGCACATGTACGATGCACGACGACCGGGCCAGACCGATATTGCATCATGAGGCTGAGTTCAAGTAAGAACCCATAGCCGGATTACTACAAGAACCGAGTTCCCGTACCGAGTTTTTGTTTCCGAGAAAAGGATCTCTCCATAGAATGGATTTGCTCGACATCTGTTCCGGCTATTAGTATTCTAAATGTTAGTTTACTTATAACTCTGTAGATACCTGGTATACTCCATCGGATAACGGTAGAAAGAGCCCGAATCGAATGCTTCTCTTCCCAAAAGCACACCGCACTATTTTTGATGATATCACGTACAACACACCGTATTTTGTGACATTGCACTATTTCGAAAATTTTTTTACGACAACTATTACGGTAGGAACTTAAGAGTCGGTAAGACTGCTGTTACTTTTCTGTTTTCTTTTCGTTCGGTCCATCCTTTCGTGTCATCACTGTTACTACTCATATGATGCTAATGTGTGTGTGTCGGATTCAAGTACGTAATAGAATGGCGTTATTGTTGGAGACGCAGCTATGGGACGACCTCGAAAGTGCACCCAAATGGCGGAGGCAGCAGGATGGAACGCGACGCCTCTCTCTCTCTGTGCTTGCTCGTCGTCGTTCACAACGTGTTCTCTGCCTGGTTAGTGGTGAAGAGCGATGCCTGATGAAGGCTCTCACCAGTCCAACTCATCGCCTCTGCTGATCATCAATCTTTCACTTCTTTTGCATTCAGTCTTTTGGTAACCCTCTTGAATCACTTTAGTACTGTTTTATCGAATAGCAGCCTGCTAAGCCTTGATTCTTCCTGTTCCTTAATTTAAGCAGTGTCAGCTCTAAAAATGTAGCTTGCCCCAAAACAAGTCAGATTATCAGAACAGCGATTTTAAGCTCCAACTCTGGAGTTGAGGTTCTTTCATAACAGTACGGTCTCTCAGTCTTATCTATTCTGTAACTCCCGCCTGAGTCAACAACGGCTTCCTCATTAATCTGTATTTTTTTTTTGAAGTTTTATTTGGCTATCATTTTTGCTTTTTTATTTACTTATCTGCCTTCTGTGATTGTCTTACTCTTTTTGTTTTCTTGCCGGTTGAATTTAGATATTGCTAAGTTTATACTGCCTTTCGTTGTTTACTGTTTTGTAATGTTTCTTTATTACCCTGCAGGTTGGCCTTCTTCTAGACGTCCCATAACTATTAAATTATCATTGAAGAACGTAGTTGCATACTAGCTACGTTCTGATTTATCTCTAGTTAGGTTTGTTTTGTTTTGTTTTTTTATTGATTATTACTTACTCAACTCAATTTGTGCTCCTTCAAATTTCAGTTCCATAGAACTCTGCAACAATTCAACCTAACGTGGATCCGTCATCTATTGCTGAAGCTTTTTGGAACTATGATTATTGTAAGGTAAATGCAACTTCATCTTTCCTTTCTATTGTTTTCTACTTGTTTTTACTTTTTTTGCAACCATGTCTCTTGTTTTTCTTTTTTTTATATGGTTACATCTTCGTTTTTATATGGTTGATTTCAATTTGGTGCTACACCGCTGGGGAACGAAACATTCACCCAGAACTGAATTGTCGCGGCAAATGGGGGGGAGGGGCACCTATCACAATGTTAGTATAACAAGGAATGAACTCAATTAAACGTGTTACTCCGTGTTATATCAGGGATATGCCAGGTTTAACTAACCCAATTAAACGTGTTACTCCATGTTATATCAGGGATATGTCAGGTTTAACTAACTTTTGGGAGGGGAAGATCACCGCCGTATGCAAGTTTTCTTTCTCTTTCCTTTCTTTTCGTGCGAAGTCATCATCCCACCCATCCAGGCGTTCCTACCCTACTTAGGCTTAATTAGAAAATTACATTTCCTTGGCTAAAGCCGCATAAATGAGCACAGATGGTTGGTGCCCATCGTCCTTCTCGGCTCTGATACAGAGGTGCTATAACAAGGATTAACACGTTAGACTGAGTTCATTTCTTCTCATACTGATCATTGGATGGGTGCCTCCCCTCCCCTCCCACCAACTACATTTTCACCTACTGACCTTTTGAATGGGTGGCCCCCCAACTACGTTTTCACCAAATCTAACTTTTTTAATTATTAAAGGGTCTTACCGCTTTCTTCGAAGGAGCAAGCGGTCCTCTTGATTTGTCTCAAGCAAGAAGACAAGACAACGACAAATAAAAAGTGAAACTGAAGATGCTCTAAATGTCTGTTAAGGTGAAGAAAAGCATATCAGTGAATACTATACTAACTCCATGCAGAAGCTAACGAAAAATGCTTTCCTCCACCTCAACAGACATTTAGAGCATCTGTGTTATCATTCGTTAGAAGGCAGTACCCTTTTTGACTTCACCCTATAACTTGGAACGAGTTGTTTTGTTTATGGACACTTGTAAAGGTCGGTGCACCACCACTCCTTAAGAATGGGGCAGACTGCCACTAGCTTGCACGCACAAATTCATGGTAACACTACCCTCGCGTTTGAATAGATACTCAGTAATTAGGGGGATATATGGTTTCAGTTAGTTTATATTCGATTTTCAGATATTTGAAAACCCTATGATTCAAGAACCAGCGCAAAATCCTCAACGTAGACGACGGAAATGTGTGGAAGATGCTGAGCGAAAAGCGAAAGCAACCGACGAACAGAGTGCTCCAAGTTCAGAGTCAAACACCAAACGTAAATCGCGACGCCGTAATGAACGAGAAGACCCTGGAGGTGAAGAAGGGGAAAAGGACCATTCCCAAACGGACCGCAGCACTGAAGACGAAGAAAAACGCATTGCTCGACTGGAAGCGAACGCCAAGCGGCAACGCCTTCGACGCGAAAATGAAACCGCTGAAGAACGTGCGGCTCGTCTACGAGCTAATGCAATACGTCAGCGGAAACGGCGTCAGCAAGAGACCTCAGAAGAGCGAGCAGCTCGTTTACAAGCGAATGCTTTGAGGCAGCAACGACTCCGTTCAAAAGCGGTGAGTCCGATAGCGGTGAGTGGAACTTATACACACAAACTCTTCTTGCTGTTTTCTTTGTCTTATCCCATTTGGAAATATTATAAGTTGATATTTTCATGCATGAAAAGTGCTGACTATATAGACTTCTAAAAGTGTCGAACTAATCAATAACCCGGTCGGGTGTTTTTATCATAAACGCTTCGCTATTTCAAAATTCTCTGTTCTCTCTAGCTTTCCTTGTTATTTAAATTTTTAACTTGGCGTAGATCCAACGAGGAACAGCTCAACCTCTTCATAGTTCCAGGTCGCTGTAGGTTCCAACATTGGGTTTGCATTTAACAGCTTTTTCGTATAATGCAATTTGTGGCTCTTGGTTGCACATCTCATGAAAATTCATTTCATTATTTCCCACATGAATTCGCTTGATTATTTGATTATGGGGTTGTTGAAGAGGGGCCTTTTCCAACAGTTAGATTGTCAAGTTAAAGCATTCTTCAAATTTTCAAAGACAAGCTCCCCCAACTCCTTAAATAAACTGCGAATTCGTGCCCGAACTATTCTATCAGTAGCCGGCCTCAGTACTTGTCGAAAAGTGAAGCGGGCATTCCTAATTCCACCTTTTTCTATTATCGGGAAACCCGAAACTATGCCTGTTATGTCGCTTCCACATAAAATCTATTTACTTAGTTATTACTTAAAATTGAATTAATTTCAGCGTTCGGAAAAACAAGAAAACGATCCACCATCATCGGAAAAACAAGAAAACGATCCACCATCATTGCCTAGCTTAATACCGCCAGAAGTGAATGTTTGCATTGAAGAACAGCAGCCACCACTTCCCTTTCAATTTTCCACTCCTTGTGTATCTAATGATATTTTTACGTGTCAGCAATAATTGCTTACGATTTCTTCTATGCGCATGTTCAGTACTACCAGTCCCAACGAGGTACCTTTTTTTCTGCAGTACATAATCAGGAATTTCTTTAAGAATTCAATATTTATTCATTCTATCATTCAATTCCATTCGTTCGGCTATTCAACGTTGTTCGCTTTTACGCTTTTATCGTGAATATCCTTCGATTCTTTTTTTTTTTTGATTGTGAATATGTGTTTACAGTGTTTCCTCACCTTTATGGTAGACTTATNGTTTTTTTTTGCTGGTTTTTAGTAGAGACTTTCATTCAGTTGACTGGCATCCTCATTTTCTCCTTTGCTCTCAGTTCTAGACACAAAAAAATGCCTTATGTGGAAAAGCAGAGAGAAATTAAGAGAACTTACCCTTTTCGCAATATACGCTTAAATGTTCCTTTGAGCTGGCACATGCCACGTTTTATAGTCAGACACTTGTGCTTGACCTCTATTATGTCGTCCACATTGAGTACAATACCTGATAATTTTGTTATTACAACTAGCAGTAATTTGTATATCGTTCCTTAGCTAAGATCGAAGAAGGTGAGCAGTGTCTTATTGAACTTTGGATCAACAAAACACCAAGTAATAAAGGAAATGTTCGAGGTCTCAAAGTAAAGCGAAGTAAGAAATTCTATTTGACCTTCAGAGGCTTTCTGAACGTGAGTGCTTAATAGCAGGAGTCAACTGAGGTCAACAATGTAACTCGAACTGAATATGGGGGAAAAATTTTGCAGCTTCAACTCCCAGACGCCTCTTAAGTTCTTCTAAATATATTTCTGACGGTTTTTACAAAGTAGGAATAAAACATACCTTTTAATTTATGGCGGAATTTATCGTCAACCGGAATGCTTATAGAAATCGACTCCAAAATTAGAGCTGATAAGAAATCCTCGGCAATGTGTGTAACTCTTGCTTCATAGCTCACACCCGTAACAGGCCTACAATAAAAATTTGAGGAAGGCATGCATTTCTATTGTTAAATTTAGCTTTCTATTTTGAAAATATCAATCTCGCTACAGCTGACTAACCGGAAAACTGCTTGAGTAACGAAAATATCTAAATGAAATACGTTTTGATCGTCAATAACTCGAGGCAGCGAAGCGAGGCGTACTGATCCAATCGAAATCACCACTCCGCGAACTCTAAACCAGCTTAGATTAATGGTTGAAAAGAATGTGGGGTTCTGGAAGCAGTTTTCTTTTTGTACTTACTTGGGACGGTATTTTCCTACCGTCATTTTCGCTATGAATTCGCACGATCTTAGAGTATTGCCTCCAATGAGATGATATGGGAGAGTAACATGTCGTCTTTCTCGTACTGCCTTGAAATGAGTGCGGTCATGAAAAATGGATAGTCTAATGCTTTACATGAGTAAATCGTTAGAAATGTGCGGTATACATTGCTTAAACAATAATCAGGAAGATCCTAATCAAATCTCTGATTTATTTATCAGTTGGACATTCACAGGCTATACGTAGGTTATTAACAAAGTAATGGTCGATAGCCTGAGTCTCTCCGAAATTTCAATCGTCATGATTGTGCTTGCCCGATGTTCTGGTTAAACTCCACAACCACTTTCACCATAGCCAATCTATGGACAATAAGAAATCAGAACCAAAAATCGCACCCTTCTCATGCATGAATATTCAGCACTGTAGCCACCTTTTCCTTACTTTTACATTCGGCATTTTTCACAATAACAAGTTTTGAAATTCAATGGAACACACCTTCAGTCCACATCGAGGATTTGCCCGTATCAGACTTTTCGCTTCTTCGAAATCCAATATTTCCTTCTGGAATGAGAAATGCATGTTTGCCTGTCTCAGCCAACAATGTACTAATAAAAAAGTCGACTCCTTTTTATGACAATCTACCATACCATCAATTGTTCTGACCCACAACATGACTGACTGTGAGTAAAGGGTCAGACGAATTTATCTTGAACCATCTTTAGAAGCATATGATTAATGGTGTCTCGAGATCAATAAGGAATGTAAGCCGAGCAAAGTAGAAGCCCCGTTGCTCCTCTTCACCTACACAGAAATATATTATATTTTCTACTTTCTATGCACTTTTACATCTAAGTCATTTCCGCTTCTGAAACTAGACACTTTTGTCGTGGTCTAGAATCAGAAAGTGGGTAATTCTATGAATTTGAAGTTTTCGAATGATAAGCATTGTACAGGGAAACTCATGTGTCACTATGCGAAATATCGTCGCGCGCATTTCACCGTGAATGGTTCAAGTTCGTTGTTACTCCATGATCACATAATGGATTAAAGAGGTGGCGAAGTCCGTTCCTCCAAGGGGTGCCACTGGAAACTGCCCGCTCTGTGGGCTGAGCTGACCACGGACATTCGAATGCAGGCGACAGGCCCCGTGACAGGCCGGCCTACGAACACCCCAGTCACATCAAAAATGTTAATGTCACTTAAAGAATTCCGATGTAATGCTACGGCGTCCGCGGGAGCCGACGCGCACTCGCAAGGCCCGGTGAGTGTGAAAAGTATGCGAGGGTCTCCGGTGCAAGGACGGCATCGGGGGGCAACTAAGCTAGTCCGAAAGCCACGCAACGTATGGAAGACCCGCGTTGCGACGTTAAATGTCGGCACATTAACGGGACGCTCNGCAACGCTATCAGATAGCGAAGAAAGAGGCGAGGAAGGCTGTTGCTTCTGAAAAGGCAGCTCATTATGCCGATCTTAATAAGAAACTCGAGTCTCGGGATGGTGAGCGGTACGTTTACCGACTCGCAAAGACCCGCAACCGCCAGACCGAGGATATAGAAAAGTTCTTCGGCATAAATGACGAGAACGGTCGCCTCTTAACGGACCGCAGGCAAGTACTGAAACGATGGCGAGAGTACTTCGCAAACATCTCAACAGTCGGATTCGCTCATCCCGCCATCCCCTGCGCTCCGCCAGTACACGGTCCCGTTCAGAAGATAACCGTGAATGAGACCATTACGGCTTTGAAGGAGATGAAGTCAGGCAAAGCAACTGGCCCTGACGACGTAGCAGCGGACTTGCGGAAATCGAAAGGCTGGAATCCTGCAGGATGGTTGACGGAATTCTTCAACCAGGTCGTTGCAGAGAAGAAGGTGCCTGAGAGCTGGCAACAGAGCTCGACGATTCCTATCTGGAAGAAGAAGGGCAGTCCTGGGGACTGCACTTGCTACCGTCCAATTCGCTTGCTCTCGCACAGCATGAAAATCTTTGAGCGAATTGTAGACAGCCGTATCCGGGATATTGTCGAGCTGACCACTAACCAGTGTGGTTTCGTAGCTGGTTGTAGCACCATCGATGCCATACACGCCGCTCGCCTCCTTCTAGAAAAGCATCGCGAGAAACGTAGACCTTTACATCTTGCCTTTCTAGACTTGGAAAAGGCTTTCGACCGCGTTCCACGTGACGTTATATGGTATGCCTTACGGCAGCATGGCGTACCCGAAGAGCTCATTGAGTGGGTGCGCATCCTTTACACTAGCCCAAAGAGCCGAGTGCAAACGACAGCGGGCACATCGACGGAATTTCCCATCTCCGTCGGAGTACACCAAGGCTCTGCGCTATTCCCACTACTTTTTGTTGTCGTCATGGATGCCATTACGAAAGACCTCCAGAAGCCGGCTCCATGGACGCTTCTTTATGCCGATGACGTGATGCTCGCTAGCGAAGACAAAAGTGAGCTCGAGTCACAGGTGCAGACCTGGTCCGACCGTCTGGCTATGTTCGGGCTCAGGTTAAACGTCAAAAAGACTGAGTACCTGACCACTGATTCGACCGAGCCAGGCACTATCAAGATCAATGGCACTGAGCTCACACTTACAACAACCTTCAAGTACGTTGGATCGGCAATTGCGTCTGATGGCAGCCTGGGTTTTGAAACGAAATCTCGCGTAAATGCAGCGTGGTTGAAGTGGCGCTCAATGACTGGCGTGCTCTGCGAAAGAACATCCCTGAGCGTCGCAAATCCAAGATCTACAGAACCGTCATCCGGCCGGTCGCAATCTACGGCGCTGAATGCTGGCCTGCGACCAAAGAGGTTGAAGCCCGTCTCAGCGTGATGGAGACCAAAATGCTGCGCTGGACAGCCGGAGTAACACGCTTAGACCGTATAAGTAATGACGCCATCAGGAAGCGATTCGGTGTTGCGCCCATTGTCGATAAAATGCGCGAAGCTCGTCTACGATGGTATGGTCATACTCTCCGCGCAAAGGGCGACAGTGTTCGTAAGATCGGTCTCAACCTTGACGTGTCCGGAAAGCGGCCTAGAGGACGTCCAAAGCAGCGGTAGCTCGATACGTTGCACGAAGATCTTAAAGCGGTTAACATCCACCCCGATCAAGCGTTCAATCGGGAGAAGTGGCGTCAACATATCAGAAAAGCGGACCCCGCCTACAAGCGGGACAAACACTAAAGAATAAGTAGAAGAAGAAGAAGACATAATGGATTAAAGAGGACATTACAGGAATTAAGGTTTGAACTCACAGCTCTAGCTAAATTTATTCCTCTGTTTTTTCGTCGGTATGGGTGATGTTTCTGCGAATGATGCTCCTTCACCTAAAAACTAAATAAAAAAAACCATTATACATGTAAAAAGTAGAGGAAACATCGAAAATCTAACAGTAATGAACTGTACTGAAGAACATAATAATAAATAAAATGAAGAAGAACCTGAGCTCGTACCTCCTCAGCATAATCACCTCCTTCCTCCAAACTCCCCTGTTTCTTTTTGTCCTTCCTTTTTGGCTTCTTTTCGTATGACACATCATGGCTCTCTTGAGTCTGATCATATTCTTCGCTTAATTCACTCGGTATTTCCTGAAATTATAGGAAGAGCATCGTAGATGGGGTCAATGCCTCACCACAAAACCAGTAGATAAGTGAGTAGAATGAAAAATGCCACTAATAAAAAAGAAAAACAAAAAGAGCCGAAAAAACCTTATGAAGATAGAACTGCACCCAATAACGCAAATATACGAATTCCGAACCGGATAATCTCATGGATATTTCGAGGTTATATCACCCTCTTGTCCCAGCTGTTACAAAAACAAAACCAATCGGAACTTGTGGAAGCCACTCACTGTCTTTATTCTTTTGGGCGCCATCGCTGGTTCATCCTCTTGCTGGTGCGTTCTCTTCCGTCCCATTTTCAAGGTCTGATATGTTGATTGGAGTCATGAAACGTATACTCCGCAAAAAGATAACCACATAGTTACAGGTTCCAACCTTGGTGTGCGCACAAGGAAAATCAATTGGACGAATTTATCCAATGAAATGACGAGTAAACAATACAACAGCACAAAATTGAGAACAATGGATATGTACAAAGGCAGTAATCACAACAATTCAGTAGAGGAATGGAATTTGGTAAGAAAAATCATAATTTCAGCGGAATATTAGGCCACAGCGGTGGTCGTTTTCTGGCATATTCCTGCTCGAATCGCATATCCATCAGTGTCTCCATGGCCAAAATCTGCTCAGCCTTTGATCCATACAATCGACGGGCACTCTCCCGCCTTAATTTTGTCCGTGCTTCTTCATCCGGAGCAGCGAAAGTGCGTTTCTCAACGCCATACACGCCAACTGCAAATATAAATATTGAGCGAAGCAACCCCATTTTCGGTATTTTTTCTATGCTGGGAAAGATAATGCGTCTATCGACAGCCCCAAATGAAAAATTATTAGCAAATTAGTTAAACACCAGAAGTAATGAGCGGCTCGCATTACGTCTCCTATACAAACCAGTCTTCAATATCGCATCGGTCACAGGTTTCTGTATAATCTACCTGCACTAGGGGGTTTCGGATGAAAACTCTAAGAATCCGATGATGTGGAAGACGGTCGAGAAACATGATAACCTTCATGCGAGTTCAACTGCACGATCTTCAATTTCTTTCAAATCCCTAGTGATGAACTTTTTTTGCACTCAATCACCCTCTTTTCCACCAGAAACTAAAATCGTTCCCACCATTTTTTTNTTTTTTTAAGAACATCAGTGACCGTTCACGATGCCCACTTTTCACTTCAAAAGACAAATGAAAATAATGAGGACAGATTGATGGATCTGTCATAACCACACAATCGCTAGACTTCACCTTTTTCAGAGTCTATCATTTGAGAAAATGGGATATCTACCGCCACTTTCAATTATCGCGCGTTACGGAAGATGAAGAAAAAGCGGAAGCGATTTGATTTATTTTGCAGTTCTGTTCTGACGAAGCTGTTGCATCTAAGATGCTACGCAATACCGTAGCAACCACGCCCTTACCATTTGTATTCTGTGGATGACTATGATTGAATTCTTGCAAAAATGAGACAACGAAATCGATATAAGTCTCTCCAAATAAAAAAAGCGGTAACTAACTTTTGTCCGCTAGAACATACTCGTCATCGTCTAGATGGATCCAATGAGATGTATCTTCACCACGTTCCTTTGCTGCGCGTTGTTCTTTTTCATTTCGTTCAGCATCTCCTACAATCGCCATGACTGACTACAAAGCCAAACAAAATAGAATGTAAAAAGAGGCCTCGATGTTTGGAATGGAAATTGCGAACACACGTAAAAGTTGTTATCAGAGAAATCGAAACCAAAATGTTTAACGTACGGGTCCTCCTATGTTCGATGGTCTTTTTGAAAAACGCAACCATCTCATCAGACATTTCCTCAACTTCCATAGATGCTGGAATTTAGCAATGAATTACTTGAAGAAGTGTACACTTACACTACAACTATGTACCTAATTCTGCGTGGGCAGCACTTGTAACATTTTTCTGCTCTTTGACCTTCTCTTTACTCGAAGATTTCTTCGTACGTTCCCGATTAGAGTTCGAACTGTGATCAGCATGACGAGAGCCTGAATAAAATATGGATAGAGGAATTCCAGCAAATTCATTCCTTAAGTGATTTGCTCTAATTTTCCTTGATAATATAGCCTCAACTAGAAAGTCTCCGTAGTTGTTCACAACTTCAAGGAAGGAAAAATTTCCAAATTCAATCATATATCTATTATCTATCTAATAGCTCTTTCGAGGGAGGTGGGTTACCCGCTTGGTGATCTATGGAAGAGACAACTAGGTAATAATTCTAGAGAAGAAAATGGAATGAGTACTGCTAGCCAATTTTGCAGTTAAGTATCAATTCACAAATTTGGGTAGTAATGCAGTAAGTCTGACTTCTTGACCGTAGACGATTAGCTTCTGCTTTAATGTATGTACCTAAGTTCTAGCAGTGAAATAGAAAGAGCTAGAGTCTTTTAGCACCCTCAGGGATAGGAAATATGCGTGCGTTCATAACTTGGAGCATCGTACCTGGCTTTCTACGTGGATGTTTCGTTTTTTCACAAGCTATACGACAAGAAACTGAAGCCATTCGTGCATGATCAGCCCTCCACTTCTCCACGGCGCGATAATGGGCCCAGAATGATGAAAAACATGCTTCTCGGCACCAGGCCTGCTTTTGAAAAACGTCCATAACCTGGAAAACATGTTTTTGAGTACGAAAAATCAGTTCTTGTTCATGAAAAATCGCAAAATCGTGAGCCATGGTCCCACAAAGACAGGGAAAACTCGTTTTAGGAGGTATTAACACATAATAAAGGCATAAATTAAGGCTCCTAATATGTGCCCGGTTGCTTTAAGCACTGTCTTTTTTTAGCACGAGAAGTCAGAATTAATGAGCGGTGAAAATGTAGTTGGGGGGGGGGGG